GAACTAAACGTACCTCAAGAATAATGACATTCATATATTGCATATAATGCTATTTCATATTTCAAATAGGAAAAATATATACTGTACGTTCACGAATACCATGCGCCACCGAATAAGACGCACACCCGATTTTTTTTCGATGTACCAAAAAAGGAAAAATGCCCACGAAAATGGCGCATATAATTTCATCAAGCCCACTGAAAGCTTAATTTACAGAAAAATTTCTTTTTTCTTGATTACGAGCATAAAGAAATAGGATACCGATCGACGGTTATCGGGAAAGAAATCTAAGGTACCACCTGCAGCTTTTGCAGCTCCTGCCTAAGTACGTAGCAAGACATGCCCAGTAACACTTTAATTTAATTGGAAGGAATAAATCGGTTGGCAGAATTTAATTCTACGGCAGAAAGAAAAACTGCTTGTCTAAGTACGTTATATAAAATTTTATTTGTTAAACAACAACGTCAATCAACAACAATCTCTGCACTAATTATGGATTTAAAAGACCCGAGTTATTCTTTAAAATCTACTGGTAATCTATCAAAGGTTAGCTTACCACACCATGACACTTCTTCCCAATTTTTCAGTCTGGAAACACAGTGTAAATTGTATACTTCCTCGCCTTCTGCGCTGCTGTCATCACTGATGTTTTCCGAAATGCCGGTATTCTCTTCTTCCTCATCATCCCACACTGCACAATCCTCACTTTCGTCCATACAGTTTGATATTCTGCACTTTGTGAACTCTGAATAACATGTTCTTGCGAAATTTCATTCCAGGCGGCTTTGATCCATTCACACATTCGAGTTATTTCGAGGTTCTTGGTGCGACCAGTCGGTGCCAGTGCGTAATTTCCAGCGGCCATCCATTCCGTGTACATTCTTTTCAGTGCTGCTTTAAATAGGCGATTAATGCATATAGTGGCTGCTGGCTGCTAGTGGCGATATATCATTTACAAATCCCTGGCCAGGATTTATTATTTGAGAGAGTATGGTAGCATCATATCAGGTTATATTTTCTGGGGTTACCGTGTAAGATTTTCCTTATTTCGCATAACAAATTTATTTTAAGTTTGATACCTATTCTAGACTTCTCAACTTCCCCTCACATTCTCTCGCCAGGATGTAAATTTAAAGTGAAGTGAAGTGCTTATTTAAACGGGTGAATATCTGAGTTGTTCAGAGCGTGTTTCGCTATCCAAGCGCACGTTTTGTTGTTATTTCGCTGTTATGGTAGTAAGCTTCTTGGCCTTATCAGATTTAGTATCACGCCAGTTAGGTTCCTGTGAGCCCACCTCTTAGGCGTAACTTAAGTGATATCTTGTACTTTTTATTTTAGGCTTGACTTACATTATATTCTACGTTTTGTTTTCACCGGAAGTTGACGGTATTTCTGTAACGCACGAAGACCGTGCCTTTCTGTTAACTATTTAGAATTAATAAAGGGTTATTTTTACTTCACACCTATGCAAGAATTCGCCAGGTCATTATAGGGTCTGTTCTAGTGTATGTGGAACAAAAGAGGTAGACTATTTGACCGTAGCTTCTAAAAAAAGTAATTTATGCCGAGCAACATGCCTCTACCTGGCCTATATTGCTTTGTTTCGCGTAAGCCGCGCACCTTGATTTTTCCCATTAAAATTATCAAAAAACCTGCGCGTGGTATTCGTGAACATACGGTATATTACCTTATGTTAAATTTCTCATATGTCGGATATGAATTATAGTAGTTTAAGTTAGTCATTTCATAAAAATGAAATGCAATTGCAGAGCATTTCTTCAAATAAAGATATACCTTATTTCATAATGAAGATACACTTCAGAAAAAAGAAATATTTTGTACAAAACACGAATTTATATTGGAGAAAAAATCTTTATGCATATAAAGTACGCAATTAATAAAAATACTGATAATTTTTGCAATTCAGTTTATTGGTGAATAAACGAAAGTTTTGCAACAGCAACCAAACTTTTTGTATACAGCATTAGGTCTGTGATAGTATAGACGTTCAATACCTTTACTAAAAACTTGATATTACATTCAATCATATTACTTACATAATATGTTGCTTATATCAATTTTACCAATATTGTAATTTAAAGGACCATCATTGTGCAATTTGCATAACCTGTCCACATTAATATAGATTCTTGATTGTCCTCTTGCACAATCTCTGCATCACCTTGAGGCTGGTATTGCTTCCTCTCTATACAGAAGCGTTTCTCACTGAGCTACTTTTGTAATCGTCTTTAAAATGCAGTACAAAATTATAAATACTACTTAATGATAAAACAAGATCTGATTGTTTTTATCAACCAGCTGAAGAATTAATTAAATTTTCTTGTGCTGATGAAGCTACATTTTGTTCATGAGCTTGTAGGTATTTTTTTGGAAGCAGGAGAAATGAAAAATATGCAACCGCCTTCGCCAGGAATCGCACCACGGACCTCTGAATTACTGGCCCAGCGTGCTACCGTTGCACCACGAAAGCACGCTAGGGAAGTGGGATAAATACCTTATATACTCCCCTTTTTAAAGAGCGACTAGGGTTTTAGGGGACCTAGTCGTCAAATCCTGGGTGCGGAGAATCATCATCCACAACCCTATTTTAGTTCGGACGCCACTTGTAGAGACATTAGGTATTTTTTTAAAGCAGGAGAAATGAAAAATATGCAACCGCCTTCGCCGGGAATCGAACCACGGATCTCTGAAATACCGGCTCAGCGTGCTACCGTTACACCACGAAGGCACGCTAGGAAAGTGGGAGAAATACCTTATAAGCTGTTGAGTCAGATACAGTTTGTTTAGTAATCTTTTTATCCACATGAATTGTGAACCCAGTCACTTCTTATAAAATAATAAGGGCAGAGCATTAAAAATTTAAATGGTGGAAATCTAGCAACCAAGGTCAGTTTTATGATTCTTTGAAATCTGGATAAATATAAGTATACTTGTGCTTTCATTTATTGTTAGACTCGCATTCATCCTTTGACTTTTATTACCTACTAAAACTACATTTTAACATAAAATATTAAATGTTAGCTATATATAAATGTTCGGCTTTATTAAGACAAATTTAACATTAAGAACTTTATTTTCATTTCTTTTCTGATATGTATGCTTTAAAAAATGTCTAAATATCACTTGAATTTCTCTTCAGTAATATGTTTTACTTCTAATGAGGAGGAAAAGACAATATTTGCAAGACAAGAGTACCTCTTTAAAATTCAAATTATTTATGGAAGAAGTTTCTAAGTTATATTTTCTTTAATTATTTTGAACATGCTAATTTCTCTAAGAAAACATATTTAACATTAAAAATTTTAAGAACGAATTAATTTCCTTTGTCAAATTCAAAATCTTTTTTCTAAATGTAAGAACTAAATACTTGGTCGTTAAGCATTCGCTGGAACTTCTGGTCGAAATCATTCTATCATTTAGCCATCTCATTTCTGAGAGCGTTTTCCAGGGAAGGGAGGATGACGAAGAGCAACTGAAATTATACTCACAAGAAAGGGGAAAAATAGCACTCATACATCTAAACCTTACATAGGATTCAAATGCACACCCTTGATTTCGGATTATCAATCAACGTCCACTATCTGTCATATCATCTAGGGCAGCTTAGTGTTAGTTAATATAATTTTGGTTTCAAGGCCTATACATGTAATAAATAGCCCATTTTCAAGACATATTCCTGAACTTGGCGAACTTCTTAATATATGGCAATCAGTTTTCCTTTCCCTTCCATCATGAAGCGGAACAAAAGGCACCTCGTTCCTACCTTTTTACACTGTGCATGAGCGGAAAAAAAAGTCACATCGTTTCTACTTCCAAATAATTTTAGCAAAGTGTTTAAACCACATCTGATGTTTTATCGTTTTCAACAAATATGCCAAATTTCAAATCGCGCCAATATATAAATTTACATATCTTCGGAAATTTTGAATTTAAAACGGTAATTTTTTGCAGGTATGCTTAGAAATAAGTCTACTTTACGATGATGGTAAGAATTTTGTAGATTACAATTCAAAATTTCTTTTGAAAAATTTATAAAAATTTTTTAAAGTACGAAATTTAAAAATAATCATAAAAAATGGGTGAATTTTATTTGTAATGAACCTGAATTTCGAAATGTCAAAGGAAGAATCAAATAAGCTTAATAAAAAAAGAGAGATTAATAAATATATACCAAACTCAATTAACATTGAGGAACTAAAATTTTGAGAGCTAATTTTTGTAAAAACTACTCGTGCGATTTTTACGAAACTTTGTTTGTTTGGCGTAATTTGAGTCGTAGAATTGAAATATGGAAAAAAATTGGTATGTTATTTCAGAAAAAGTCCGATTTTGTGTCAAATTACCTATATTAGAACGATGCTATATATAAATCTAATATAGTAGATCCTAAGTCGCGCTTTCGAGACATGAAAAACGCAAGTTGAATTTCGTCAATCGGTCTAGTAGAACGGGAGATATAGAACTGTCCCATTTTTTTTTCTTTTCTTTTTTCCCCCGCAGTGTACAGTTATGATAAATTATAGCAACAATAAAGTTAATATTGAAATAATAACTATAATAATAATTTTTGTCGGTAAATAAGCTTTCATGATATGTCGGATAAAACAGATTATAAGGTATATGCTTTGGATGTCTTTCAACCTTTTTCTCATTCATAATGCTCTAACAGTGTCATAGCTATTTGAATATCTTTTTCTCGATCCTCTGCTTTTGAACTAAATGGTGAGTGCAGTAACACTTAACGCATTCTATAGTACGAAATGCAGCTGCTTATTATTTGTTTAGAAAGCTTAAAGTGAGTGTTTTCAAAGAGTTCTAAATATTAATCTCTTTTTCCTCCAGTAATTCACAGAAATACTGCTATACTTCTCTGAAATTCAATAAAACAGCAATCTATGTTTTGAAATTTATTTTTATATTTTTCTTATCTTCTTTCCATCTCTCCATCGCTTTAAGTCTGGTGTATCCATATGTTTGTTCGCACATTTATCGGTAGAGGACATTATCTTCGCGTGAAAAACAAAATATGATACATCACATAAGTTTCACTAAAGGCCCTCTGGTCTAAAACTAGAAAATCAGTAAACGAAGTTACTTCTGGAAGGATTCTTAAGTGAAGTAAGCAGAAACTTTTTAATTTTAAATGAAGATTTCTATGGAGAAAGATTTAATTACAAATTCTACTCAGATCTCGGAAATTATGTTTTTTAAAGTGACTTAAATATATGTAAATAAAAGGTGAAGAATTAAAAAAATCTTTATTCATAATTATTAAATTTCATTTCCATACTGAACAGATAATATTTAATTATAATATTTTTGTGCAGGTAAAAGCCAAAATTATTAAATCTGATTTAGATAACAAGTTTTATGCGGGGAAAAGTACATTTTGCTTTAAACTCAACTCTGCTCGATTTAACTCAATTAATTTAATACTTTTTTATAGTTTGTAAACTTGTTTTCTGCGGTTAGAAAACTCATAAGAAGGTCTAAGTTTCTAAACTTCTTTATCTTGATTTTTGATCCTTTGACATGTATAATTAAACAATAATTAAATTGCCTGCAAATTGCATGCTTTGCTTTTTACTAAATACAATTTTAAATTTTATCTCTTTAAAACTTAGCTGAGAGCTAATGTTCCGAATTTATTAAATGAATCCCATTCTCATCATTACATTTTAATAGTAATAAAAGAAGTATTACCGTGAATTTAAAAGGCATAAAATGCTTTTGAAAAATAATGCCTTTAATGTTCCTTTTTAATATTAATTTCGAATGAACATTTAATTTGTTCTTTTAAAATTTTGATACACTTCCAATCCAATTTTATCAAAATTTCACCTCTTGGCTTCATCTCTTCACTATTCGTCTTATTTCAGTCGTTCATTAGTTATTTCAACTCTCGTTTGTATCTCTTAGTTTCGCTTCAAGAGAAGAGACGAAAGTTTATTTCAAGATGAAGACCCTAATGCTTATTTTATTGTTGGGATTTGTACTTTGGTGTGACTATGCAGAGGCTGGATTATGCAGTTGGATATGTCGCAGTGTGTGTCCGATACCGGGAGTATGCCATGTGGCTTGCAAGCTGTTATGCACTGATCCAGTTAGTGTGTAAGTATTACTTCCTGTCTTTATAATCTTTAATTTACATTCTGTATGTAAAACAAGAACATTTTAATAATAAATACCTCAGCTTCGAATGCTTTAAAATGTATTTATGCATTTCTAACGCTAACAATCAATGTGCTTTTAAGCAGGGACGAATTAGAAAAATCTAGAGGCTAAGCACGGAGCTTTAAATGTAAACAGAAGTTTTTGTAGCAGCCACTTGTAGATGTTCAAAACAGAAAATTATAACAAACTAAAACTGAGATTTTCTCATAAAATCTTTCAACAATAAGCTGCTTGCCTTTTGGCTAAAGTAACGATGCGATTACTACAGTATCATGACTCAAATCTACAACAGACTGGGGTTTATACTTACTGGCGAACGGGCTGGCTGCATTCTTGGTTTTCTTGATTTTCTCAACGTGTAACATGAATACGAGGCAGTTCCCTTAGAATGTCCTCCACGAAGGCATTCCTGCTCATTCCTGTATGTGCTTTGCTATATTCAGTTAATCTAACCTTTATACTTATTGAACTTGGCCAAACCTTCACGGTAACTCTTTCACAGCTATGGCGAATGACTTCTACAGGCAAGGCGGCAGAATCACGGAAAAAAGCTCCAATACACTGACTACCAATAAGTATTTGGACACCTATGCAAATGACGATATCTGCGGTTCTAAGGTACATCACGGACTTCGCCGGTATATATCGTGTAGGAAGGGAGGATATAGAACTGTCCCATTTTTTTTCTTTTCTTTTTTCCCCCGCAGTGTACAGTTATGATAAATTATAGCAACAATAAAGTTAATATTGAAATAATAACTATAATAATAATTTTTATGGATAAACGAGCTTTCATGATATGTCGCATAAAACAGATTATAAGGTACATATATGCTTTAGTCGCATGCAAGATGCCTCGCAGTTCGGAGCTCTCTGATTTCGAGAAAGGTATAATTATCGGGTATCACAAATGTGGCCGATCCTTAAGGGACATATCTAGCGATCTGAACTACCCAAAATCGACAGTGGCCTATGTGATTAAGAAGTGGAAGGTGAGCAGTGATTGTCGGAATGTGCCCCGAGTCGGAAAACCAACGAAACTGGGAGATAGAGACCTACGAGTGCTGTCCAGAGAAATTCGGAAGAACCGCACCCAAACGATGGCCCTCATCCGCGAGGAGTTTCAACAGACATCCGGGAGTATTGTTTCAATGAATACCATCCGTAAGGAAGCACATCTGCTTGGTTTTCATGGTCGTGCTGCTGTCCATAAGCCTTTGATCACAAAGTCCAACCGCGCTGCTCGGTTAATGTGGTGTAAAGCACATCGAAATTGGACCTCAGATCAGTGAAAACGGGTTCTTTGGAGTGACGAATCAAGTTTCACCCTTTACCGTTCGGATGGCGGGGTCTGGGTCGGCGTCTACCTGGAGAACGTCTCCTGCCAGAATGCATTGTGCCAACAGTCAAGTTCGGCGGAGGTGGAATTACGGTCTAGGGGTGTTTCTCCTGGTATGGGCTGGGACTCTTGGTCCCCATTCATGGTAAGCTCAACTCCGATGCCTACTGCACTATTTTGGATGACAATGTGCTTCCTACGTTGTGGCAGTTTTACGGGTTGGACCCCTGTTACTTTCAGGACGACAATGCCAGTTGTCATGTTTCGACGTTAACCAAGGCTTGGTATGGTGCCAATGGAGTTCATCGAATGGACTGGCCTGCCCAAAGTTCAGACCTGAACCCTATCGAGAACCTCTGGGACGAGTTGCATCGCCGAATTCAGGGGTGCACTACCCGTGCAAAATCGGTGAAGAAACTTCTATGTCTTCTCCAAGCCGAGTGGAAGAAAATACCACTAGCTGTCATACAAAGACTTGTGGAAAGTATGCCCCGGAGGGTCCACGCTGTAATTACCTCTCGTGGAGGCTCTACCAACTATTGATTTTGAATAAAGTTAGTTTTACTTTTCTATCACAGGTGTCCAAATACTTATTGGTAGTCAAGTGTAGACTCATTGTTAAGATTGCATCCTAATTTTAAACTACGCCTCCGGCTCTAAAAATTGGTATAAATATCTGGTTCTAGTGAGTATTGTGCCATAGAACCTAGGATAATAAGTAACCTAAAATTGACTGTTATATAGTTGGTTGGGATTTTTAATATGGCACAACACAAGAGTCTGCCTAAAGGAAGGGAAGCCAACGTTGAAAACTTTTTTAAGAGAAACTTGCTCGTATTTATGTAATACATAGGAAAAACTTCGAAAACTAATCATGATGCCAGCCCTTTCGCCTGGGTTCGAACCAGCGTCAGACTACCAGTATTTAGCAGTTTTAATTACTTTGCCATCGGTGAGACTAAAATTAGCTGTTATTGAAACTTCAGTCATAATTATGACCCCGTAAGATAAAAGAATTTTTTAGTTTTAGAGGAATTTTAAGAGTTTCTTAATTTGCAATTTTTTTTCAGAGAATTTACTAAAAATTGCATTTAACTTTTTTTACATTAATATCTACAGCATTATGTGAAACAATGAAAACATTATTTTGTTTTTAATTCGAATTTGAGGGAAATAATGTCAGGACGCAAGACATGCTAGAAACATACTATATCAATAATAGAATGCTATAAGTCGTTTCTTGAGCAACACTGGGTTTGAACTGCGCGAATTCGATCATGCGCGTAATTGTTTTTTATGATAAATGTTTAGCAAAATGTTTTATAGATGTGTAATAATTTGAAAAACTTAGTTAACAAATTAACTACCCTACAAATATATCGAAACGGGAATAATTATTATGCTTTGAATGTTAAAAGTAATGTAGATATTGGGATATTTACCATCATAACACTAATGTGTAAACGTGTAACATGAAACATTGTCCAAGACGTTAGTATGTAAGTTCGTGCAAACTTAATATGGTACAGTTCATTGTGTCAAAAGTATAGAAAAACTGAAGCTAAGTCACATGCTTATATAAATAATTACAGCAGACAAGTGTTGCCAGATCGTGCGATTTTTCATAAATTTTCTACTTTTCACAAACCTGTGCTACTAAAATCTGTGCAATGCTATCTTGCTACATTTTTGCTACTTCTTCATTTCCTTATGCTACGTTTTGCAACTTAAAGATTTTTTTATGTATCATAAAACGCTTATATGTTAAAATAACGTATGTATTGAAATTAATTTATAATATATATATAAAAAGCAATATAGTTAGACTTAGACAGAAGCTGATATCTGGCAGTTCTGAAATATAGCCCAGATGCAAACAGTTTTAAGCGTTAGTCGCTCATGTTTTCGCATATTTGATAGCTTTATTTAATCTTTTAGTAATGTCGGTATGCGTACAAAATCTACATCTAATCATAGCTGCTGTGTTAACTAAAGCGTGAATTAGGAGTGACATGTAAAAAACACCACCTTTCAAAATGCTTGGGTTAAAATACCCATGTTTGAGAATTCGCTAGAAAGCATGAAAACAACAACATTATATTTTATTGGAAGTAATGTAAATATGAACTGAAGGCAACCAAAGCTGATTTAAAGAAGCACGGAATTTCAAAACTTTAAAAGCAAAACTCTCGACAAATCAAAATAGCATAAAAACTGCATTTGAAATTTGCATTTGAACAGCATAATTGAAACTTCCTGTATTAGTTGCTTACCATGCGTTCATACAGTCCATCGACCATTGAAGTAAAAATTTTAAGAAAGGAATGTCGTCAGATTTGTCATCTAAGACTTTGCATTTATGCAGGACAAAATACCGAGCATTGATAAAGAAAGTCATTTCTCCTGAATTGCTCATAAAGCAAGTAATTCCAAATTAAGAAATCCTCATTTTCTCTCACATTGGATGAGTCTACAGATATTTCATGCTGCAAGCATTTATGCTTATGTGTTATTCATTTTAATGAAAAATAAAATAAAATAGCAACACAGATTTTAGTCATTAATTTTTTATGACACTAGATAAGATATTTTCACAATACATATATGATTATTATAAACCCTTCATATGAATGTGATTACAGTAAGTCATTTCGAGGTAATCATTTCTGAAAATGGCCTGTATTTAAAAGAATATAAATTAGCGCTTTAAAACGATTACTTACACAAAAAATCAAAATTATCTGGAATCATGACTGCTTGCCTTAGAGAGTATTCACTGTATTTTTTCTATGATATATCAAATGCTACTTATGAAATGATACTGTAATTATGCTGAAATGATGAGTTGAATCTAGTGATGGTGTTGAAAACGTCCTTTGTCGTAGTTTTTTGTCCATTTGCATCCAGTTTAATGCAACACTGTAATATCCGGCGAAGCTACGTTGTCGGAAGACCGCTGAAAAGCGCGCAGCGCGTTAAGTTGCATATAAATGCATATGAATTTTAGTTTCTTGCTTAGAGAAAAAGTGTGTAACAAAGGATGCAGTTTTTATTCATATGTACACATGCAGAATAGTACTAAAATAAATGTGATACATAAAATGGAGTTATTTTGATGCCGAAGGCTTCATAAGATTTTATTAATTCGTCTCATGACTCACTGACCTTTTTATTACTTGAAACTTCATTCACTGCCTTGTAACTAGAACACGTTCCTCGTTAGAATATAGTATCTTCTTCTTCTGCAATGGCTAGACAGCCCAGGATGGGCCCTTGCCTTCCTCAGAATTGAATTCCAAGCTCTTCTATCCCTGGCCATGGACATCCAATTGGTTATTTTTAAAATTCTTAAGTCTATTTCCCAAACAGTCGAGCCACCTTAGTTTAGGTCTCCCTCTTTTTCGGGTGTCGAATGGTCTGGCAGAGAAGATCTTTTTAATTACTCGATTTTCATACATTCTGCCCAGGTGTCCTACCCATTTAATTCTCTGAATCCTTATATATTATACTATATCTATTTCTTTAAAGGATTTATAGAGTTCAGAGTTAGTTCTTCTTCTCCAGATAATGTTACATTTTATGCCACCAAAAATACTTC